AGCAGACACCCTTGAACGTGAGAAAAAGCCCAGCTGTGCCCTGTAGTGGCAGCACAGAATTGTTTGGAACGATGGAGCAAAACCCTTACGTTTGCATTGAGAGACCTTCTGCAGATAGGCACTCAGTGATTTATAATCTGAAAGACAGCAGCACCATTCCTGATCAGAAAACCACAGTGGCTTCAACCCCTAGTATTAGCAGTGCAACAACCCAGGCTGGCATCCACTCACCACAAAGCAACCCCCGTGGTTGTACTTTGTACTATCAGCCCCAGGAGGGAGGAGCTGCAACATACAACCACCCACCTCCCTCGCCCAGCCTGTCTCAGGACGACACACCACTGTCCCTGCTCAACGTCGAGGATCCTATGATCTCTTTACCAAGTTAACTTTAGGACTCAGAGGCATCACAAAGTATCTGCCAAAGTATGAAAAGAAGCAAAACCTCAGCCCTCCATTTCCCTTGGAAAATGAAAACCACTAGTTCCATGGATCGCAGGGACATGCTGAGGGAGATCCAAAATGTCCTGGCTGCACATAACTGCTTCTCTGAGCAGAGTGAGCGCTTCCATTCCTTCTCTATCCACGGTGAGGGGCCTGGGAGCAGCCTGGGCGGTGGGAGATGGAGGAGTCTGTAGGACTGTCTCGGAACGGGGTCCACGTGAAGCGAAAGGCAGGCACATCTGCAGCATTTAAAAACATTGCTTCCACAATTGCCAGTGAGCTAAAACTGTAGCCTTATTAATTATCATTTAAATAAAGTAGCAATGAGAGTGTTTTCCTGAACACTGGTGGAAATGCATAGAATAATGTTTAGGCAATAACATCTGCATCTTCTAAATCACGACTTAAAGTCTGAGGATGAGAAAAAAACATTCTCACAGCATACATTCATGTTTGCCTTCACTGTCCATCTGTCTTTTGTAGAAGTTTCCTGCCCTAGGGCCTTGGTGCAAAACAGCTTACGTTCTTCTCATGATCTCCCGCAACACCTCCATCACCTGTGGCAGGTGTTAGGTATTTTGTGTTAGGGACTTGATGGACTTCAGTAACTTTCCACTGAGTGGTAGATTAGACAGCAGAGGTGGAAGGCAGGGTGACACACACACCAGTCACCGCAGGCCTGGAACTGGTGTGCAGGTCTAGTGCTGCAGTTCCTTTCCCTTAAACTGGCCACGTACCCACGCCCACAGCAACTCTGGAAGTCACTTATTAGAGCTCTTGGAAGCCCCATGAGACTCGGTCCCTAAATAATGTGTAGAACACAGTCTCCCTTGAACTAGAACTCTGCCACCTAGAACTACCCTGGATTTGTTATTCTGTTTGTTACAACAGCTCCCGTACCTTAAGTAACATAATGGTGCATTCCATTTCTATGATCTTGGTATGCTAAAATCTCAAAAATGTTTGTGACCTGGTTTCTGAGAATACACAGTCTTTCAGAGGAAAGGTGCAGCAGATATTCATGAGACCCGCAAGGGCCCCTTGTGCTTTGATCGCATGTTTTCGGTTTCCGGCTGCATCTGTCTTCAAGTTTTTCTTTTGGACAGCAGCCCAGTGACCACTGAGCAGGGCTACTGTCTGGTCCAGAGATGAGTACCTAGAAAGTGAACACAGGGCTTCTGTTAGAGGCCTTCATCCATGAACCTAACTTCTTAAGTGTTTTTTTTTGTTATTTTTTGGTTTTGATTTTTGAGACAGCATCTCACCATGTAGTTCAGGCTGGCCTCGAACTCACAGTGCTCTTCCTGCCTCAGCCTCCTGAGTGCTGCCCGGCTAAAATCATTTTAGACTCAGTCTGTTCTGTGCTCTCAATGCACTGCATTTCCCTCAGCAAAGGGTCATCTCATTGTACTTTTTCGATAAGGGTCTCTCTTTTTTTTTTGGTACCAGGAATTGAACTCATGACCTCAGGCTTGCCAGGCAAGCGCTTATGCCACTGAGCTATGTCCCCGGCCAAGGGTCTCTCAAGGGAACGCCTGTTGTCTTGTTCAGCTCCCTGTCGCCAATACCCAACACTATAACTGGCTGCTAGGAGGTACTCGGGGACTTGAATTAATTTTTCTTTGGGTCAGGAACAGGATTTCTGAACTACTGTGATACAGAGTTTAGGCTGTTCTGTAGGAGTAGTACTCATTAAACCATGTCCAAAAACTACAAGTAATATCTTAAACCCATTTTAGAAATGTTCCTGGGGCAGCACTCTCAGCCAGGAATACAGCCGGCTAAGCGCTGAACAGCGCTAGGATGTCCACTTCGGGGACACAGTACTTTGTTCCGTGAACCACGGCTCTAGCTGAAGCAGGCGCTCTGATTCGCAGCGGGGGCATCACCAGTGCCCACTGGGCACCCTTGCAGTCCTGGCCTCCTCTCAGATAAGGCTTCCAAACATAGAGGATCAACTCAAATGCAGTATTTACCCCATTTAAGTCTATAATTACTTTTTAAATATACTTTTTCAGCTCCATTTGGTTTTGGCAAGGGTAAAAAAATCACGACAATTCTATTCACTATGATTGTGCATATGTCTCAAACATGATTATTTTATAAGGTAGTAGTAAGGGCCTGGAGAAGCAGTAGTTTAGCGGGTAAGGGTAAAGGCTTGGGAGTTTGATAGATTTAGATTTTAATTCAGGTGCAACACTTTCTAGCTTTGTGAACCTGGGCATGTGACTGGAACTCTGAGCCTGTTTTCTTACATGTAAAGTTTGAGTGAAGCTGGATGTGGTGGTGCACAGCTGTAATCCCAGCACTCAGGAGGCTGAGGCAGGAGGACCACTCTGCAAGTTTGAGGCCTGGCTGTGCTACTACATAGCGAGTTCAAGGCCAGCCTGAACTACATAGTGAGACCCTGTTTTTTAAAAAGAAAAAAGTTTGAGTGAAAACAGCATTCGCAGGCTGGGGATATAGCTCTGCAGCACAGCACCTGCCTGGTAAGGGCAAGGTCCTGAGTTTGATTCCCAGTATCTACAAAAAAAGAAAAGAAAAGAGCATTCACTCAAAGGGATGTTGGTGACAAAGGTAATTCTGAACCTTTCTTTGGGGTTCTGCTACTTACAATAGATGATATACTCCCACACTCAATTCTAGAGATCAACGCAATGCTTCCCTGACTGGGAATATGGTACCATTTGCTTTCAAGACTATCATACATATTGTAAGAGAGACAGCTGCCTTTCCTTCAAGGTGCTCATAATCTAAGCATCACCTAAGACCTTTCAATGTAGATACAAGTAGATGGAAACATAGTTCTCATACTAAACTGAACAAACAGATGTTCTAATACAATATCCAAACAAATGTCCATAGGAAGAAACCAGAGGTAAATTATTACCTTTCCAGGCTAAGCAGGGTGGCACATGCCTATAATCTCAAATACTTGGGAGGCTGAGGCAAGAGGTCTGCAAATGCAAAGCTGGCTTGGACTTAATAAGAGCCTAGATAGGACCCTCAATGCAACTTCAGCTCTGTCTGAAAATGAAAAATTTTTCAAAGAGCTGAGGATGTAGCCTAGTGGTGGAGAGCCCCTAGAACTGTGGAGAAGAAAAAAGCACCAGCCCATAGCGCTGGCTCCAGGCAGGACGGCATGGCAGAGGGGCACAGCAGAGGAGAAAAGAGCTCGTGGGATGGTGGTGGGAAGCAGAGCAATCAAGGGAGGAGGGAGGCCACCTCCACCAGGCTTCACCTCCCAAATCACAGTTAGCTATAAACTCCTTAGTGGCTTAATCCGCTCATGGGCCAGTTTTTGAGACTGCATTCCAGGGATGAATTGGAGGGGGTGCAGTGTGTGACAGCCATAGTGGGTCCTATCTAAGCTCAACGTCTTCCTAAAAGGCATCCCTAGGAGACCGAGCTCTCCCATTTGTCCGCAAGGGACCTCACGCCTGCGCTAGACCGGGGCGTCCAACCAACACTAGAGGGCGCTGGGCCCAAAAACCTTTAGGCATCTGGACAGCGAACAGGGCGAGCGAGAGGGAAACTCAAGGCTCTCGAGAGAAGCGCTCAACGGAAAGCCGAGGACGGTCCATCTCTCGATCGGGAAGGCGGGCGGGAGGGGTGGTGGCAGAGCTTCCCAGAAAAGAAAAAGGTAGGGGGCGCTTACAATCTGTGTGGATTAGACCAGCGCCACACCGTGAGATTAAGGGCGCCCCAGAAGCTCAGCGAAGTGGCCTTGTATCCTATCTGCCTCCGCGGACCGCTTCTGATCGGCTGCCCTCCGACTGTGCTGGTGAGCGCCCCGGCGGTTACAAATGGGGATAATCGCTGTCCACGAAAGGCCCAGGAAATCTCCAGGGGTGGTACCCCTAAGGGCAGCTACGAGTTGGGAGTCCGCTCGGCAGCCTGCGGGTCTGGCCTGAGAGTAGCCCCAGCCACAGACCCTCGGTTACCGCCGTGACGATGGGTCGACGAGAGAAAGCAGCTCCCCTTCGGGACACCAAACGCCGTGCGAAACGGCGTTGCGGGGACGGGGCTGGTAACAGGGAAGTCAAAGAATGTAAGAAAAAGGCAGAGTCGAAGGCAAGACTGAGTAGGCGCCCTGCACGACAGGGGGCTTGCTGCTAGGGACGTTTGCGCACGGGGGCGGCGGGGCGACGTTCTTACAGAAGGGCGGGCTGTAGGAGGCCGTGGCTTACTGGACCGCAGCGCCACGCACAAGCGGACCGGACGGGGCTTCCTCTAGCGCGTTCTTCGGGAAGGCCGTCAGCAGGGACGACGCCTAACGGCTCCTCGCTGTTTCAGGACGGCCGTTGGCCCACGCCGTCCCGCGCCGCCGCGG